CCCAGACACACCTGGGTCACAACCAGACACACCCAGACACACCTGGGACACACCTGGGCACACCCGGGCACACCTGGGCACACCTGGACTCACCTGTACCCCGTTCTGACCCCGCCCCTCCCCCAGGTTCTCTCTCGGCGATCACCGCTGGACTCAGGTGTTGGCGGGGGAGGGGCAGGGCGGCCCCGGCCCCTCCCCCCGGTACCTGCACGCGGCCGCCGCCCTCCCGGGGGGAGGGGCCATGCTGCTGGTGGGGGGGCTCACCTGGACAGGTGTGAGCCAGGACACCTGGCTGCTGAACCTCAGCTCCCTGCACTGGAGACGGATACAGGTGAGTGACACACCTGGGGACACCTGGGGACACTGGAAACACACCTGGGGACACCAAAAACACACCTGAGATACACCTGGGGACACCTGGGAACACCTGGACAGGTGTGAGCCAGGACACCTGGCTGCTGAACCTCAGCTCGCTGCACTGGAGACGGATACAGGAGAGTGACACACCTGGGGACACCTGGGGACACTGGAAACACACCTGGGGACACCAAAAACACACCTGAGATACACCTGGGGACACCTGGGAACACCTGGACAGGTGTGAGCCAGGACACCTGGCTGCTGAACCTCAGCTCGCTGCACTGGAGACGGATACAGGAGAGTGACACACCTGGGGACACCTGGGGACACTGGAAACACACCTGGGGACACCAAAAACACACCTGAGATACACCTGGGGACACCTGGGAACACCTGGACAGGTGTGAGCCAGGACACCTGGCTGCTGAACCTCAGCTCGCTGCACTGGAGACGGATACAGGAGAGTGACACACCTGGGGACACCTGGGGACACTGGAAACACACCTGGGGACACCAAAAACACACCTGGGGACACCTGGGGACACTGGAAACACACCTGGGGACACCAAAAACACACCTGGGGACACCTGGACACACCTGGGGACACCTGAGGACAGCTGGATACACCTGAGATACACCTGGGGACATTGGGGACACACCTGGGCACACCTGGGCACACCTGGGTGGCCAAAATGAGGCCAAAATCGGCCCGAGTTACCCCAAATTTCAGCCCAAAGCCCCCAAATTT